AGGAGGAGGAGGAGGAGGAGGAGGAGGGGGAGGAGCCAGGTACTACATTATCGACACATCGAATCTCACGAATTTTTATTAACTGAGAGAAGTTATGAAAAGAAGAGAACTGTCTCGGCTACTTGCATCTCCTTGGATAATGGGGTTGGTGTCTTCAAAAAGTGTCGATGTGATTTCTGGAACGGTTGCACTGCCGGTTGGAAGTGCGCAAGGAACTGGAAATTAGCAAAGACGAAATAATAGTGATTCTTTGCATTGGTTTAACAACACAACAGTCTGCTCTTACTTTCACCGCTTCCACTTTTGCTTTATTCCGACGTAGAATGTAAACGTTTGATTTTACTATGTGCTTGTAACCGTGAAGAGGTCTGCATTCGGCAATATGAATCGGGGAGTTATGAAACTATTGAAGAGTCCCTTTACCGTGGAGCAGTTTTAATAGATAAGATTCGAGCGGTAGGAGTGAATTCGTCGGCTGTTTTGCTAACAACGTCTCAAGTTCGCCTCTATGCAGTATGAAGGAGAGAGGTCTTGTGGCGAAGTTGGTGCAGTAGTTTACAACTTGTTACAAGGGTACAGCAAGCATTTCTCTCGTTTTTAGCTCCAATTTATAGAATAAATCTTTTTGATGATTTAAAGAAGCAATTGGTCCGTAATAAGCGTTATCAGACTTGGACATTTTTTAGCAACCGACTGTCGGTTATTATGAATTTCTTCATTTTTCCTTCCTTAGTCAAAGCCGACCTATTTTTATCCAGAGTCAAACACATTTTAATGCTTTTAGAATGGCAAGTTGGTTAGTGTAAGGTACAGGTGAGAAGTCAGGCCTTAATCTTGCTTGTAAAGAAAAAAAGTACTAGTAAATCCGCCGGTTTTCTTTGCCTCTAAAATGGCTTTAATGGAGAAATAGCTTTGGACCTCGGGAACTTTTCCGCGAATATAGTAAAATTCACTTGGGACTATCTAATCGCTTGTAGATTCCCACACCTTTAGCTCATAGCCATTAGTCGGTGATGCAGACCTGGGATAGGATCCGTCTCAGTTGCTTCATGACTAGTATCAATATAACGCCATGAAACGTGAAATGTGTGCTATTTTGTTTAACCTGAAAATGCTCATTTTTGCAGTTGAGCCTTGACGCAGTTGGATCACACATCGTGGACAATAATGAAGTTCCAGTGCAATAGATACTCGTAAATGACGCGCGTCATAAGTGTTTTAGCTTACTGCAAAATTGTCTAGCACCTCGCTCCATTTAAGAACCGTGAGCAAAGACTCTAAAGTGAACTTGGCAATAAAAATTTGACTAAAAACCAAAGTAGTTCCAATCTATGTCGCCTTACTGACGAACTCGAGGGACTCACACAAACTCATTTTGGTAAAAACCAAGCTCAAGTAAAATCTGTAGTGTTTAAAGAGTTGGTTTTCATATTGGTGAACTGCAGAGTCAATTTGCCCTCCTAAAATTGTGAATTTTTCTGTGGACGTCCGTTTAACGGTAATGCGTAAAGCCGCACTCCGTAGTGCGCTGGATGTGTGTCTGGGGGGGCGAAGTGAAGCACTCCTCCCAACAAGACGGTAAAAATTTAATTTTTGGTGTTTTAGGTGAGAGGTGTAAACTTCCAATTCAATAAGACATGGAAATGTAACAATCAGTTGGCCATTAACTGGCCAAAAATGTATATATTATCGTTTACTGGAAAGTATTGCAGATGAAGAGTTTGAACTAACGGCACTTTAGCCTAGTAAATTTAAGTATTAAGAGCGATAAGGGCAAATGTCGAATCCTTCTTAAATTTTTAGTGTACAATGTTGTCAATAGATAAGTATAAATTGAAACTAACGTAAATTTTCATGACATTATTATGCCGCGCCCATTGCAGTTTTGAAGGTAGCATTGTGGCAGCACAATTCGTACCCAATCTTATGGCATTCTTACCCTCACAGATTCCCTCCTCGGTGAGTCATGTAATGTGGGGGATTCGAGGCTATCGACAGGAGGAATCAGTACCCTGGCTCATCCTAAACGAGGTCGGTAATCTCTTTGTGATCCTCAACGCCTCCATCAACATTATCCCCTACTACCTGTTTGGAAAGCGTTTTCGTACTCTTTTCGTGGTAATCTACTTTGGGTGGATGAAGAGATGTACAGATGTGCGACAGCGCGTGACACCGTTCAACCACTTGTTGCAGTCAGCACCTAATGGAAGGCCGCGGATGCCCTCAGCCTCATCTCCCCTCTCTCCTCCCGCTATTGCCGGCGTCTCTGGACAGGATCAGTTCCCATCTCTTCACTGTTTCCAACCTGGAGGAGAAGGAACGTGCCTTCATGTGGAATCACAAAAGCCCCAACAACCAAATTGTTGCTTATTTTCTGGTGCTTTCACTTGACGATGTTTTATGTTTACGTTGTTTGAAATTGAGTACTTAATTTGAGAAATATTTCCTTTGTCTGTTGAGTACATGCAGACAGGGACGACTTTATGTGTAAGTATTACGAAAGGCAATTCAGGGCAAATTATGGATGAGATTACAAATCTGAAGTTACTTCAAAAGGATATGTTTGGAGGATTTTAGCGTTAAATTAATAAACAAAAGCCGAAAAATGCTCGGTTCGAGTAAAATTCGTTTGAGATTTCACCGAGAGAACTCTTCAATTAAGTCATTGACATCAGCTATGCTGTAGAGAATTACTACTTAAGAAGCAATTTAGCAATGGTTTTTGTTAAGCCTTTGCTAAGGGTCTAGCAAAATTGTGGACGTAATAAACCCTCTTCCATCGAGGGAAAATGAAGTTGATGCTCTGTTCTGCTGGAGTCCCCTTAAAGCCAATATTCATATCCTACTACGGAAATACTTAGTCATTTTTGCAATCAAAAGACATGCAATGGTTTCGATTTCAAAATACAAACTTGTCAATTAACAATGCCCCTCATAGAGATTAATTCTTGGAAAGAAATAACGAATCTGATTATAGAACTGGGCGATAGTATCGCAAGACGCAAGTCATTTTTGCTGTCGCAAGAAAGTGGTAGTGACTTAGAGGAGAGCTGAGGCTACCTTCGTGACTCACAGCCAACGCTGAGGAGCGTGAATACAAGCTTCGAAGACTTTAGTTGCTGTCGAGCTGAGATAGCAAAATACTTCGCAATTTCGTCCACACTTACTCGGTCTGCATTCCTTTTACAAGTCTTTACTGTTGTATCTAATTAAGTGGCATGGTTGTTGCAAGACAGAGGTGGTAGTTACCCTACCACGGGTTTTCTTTAGGCAGAACTATGTTTCCTTGCAGAGCTTATCCAGCTTAGCGACGACCTTCTGATTATACGAGGAAACGAGAGCTTAAGCACTAGTTAGAAGTAGTGGTGGATTAACTAGGTGCAACTTCAGCTTGTTTGTTATTTGTTGTAAACTGATTAAGTAGGCCCTCTTTGCCTCTAATTTTGTTTTAGCGAAGAATGGTAAAATAAAAAGCTACAACAAGCGTTTGGTCAACTCTCACAAGACCACTACTTTGAAGCCGCTATAACTGCAACCTGTCCATCCACCACAGTGAACTTAAATTTACACTTAGAGGAACCAGAAGACTAGCAGACTACGTTCACTATCATGTAGAATGGTCAAAAACGCTACTTTACCATTTGGTCAATGCTTTGTTACTAACTGCACATCCTCATTAAAGTAGTAGCTAAACTTTATTGTCTTGAATGCTACAGGCAAGTCCAAGAAAAGTGCGCAAATGGAACATTGGAAGCATCTGCTGTAAACTTGGCAAAGCATTAACAC